AATACGACCCAATTATCCTATTGACCGAGATCGGAGATGTGTCGTTAAATTTCTACGTTTGCAAGTTACTAAAGGCCTCTCTAGATAAGGGTGTGTTTAGTTCACGCTATAATTGAAAGTTTGGTTGAAATTGGAACGATGTAACGGAAAAGTTAAAAGTTTGTGTGTATAGAAAGTTTGGATGTGATGGAAAAGTTGGAAGTTTAGAAAAAAAAAAGTTTGGAACTAAACTCGACCTAAGTTTAGATTTACTGGTTTAGTCAAGTCAGTTTTTTTCAGAAGCAAATAGATTCAAATTCCTAAATTTAACAGTAAAGTTTCCCATACACCTTACATAAGCTTAAAAAAACTACCCATTTATTTAAGCTTAGACTTTTCTGCTCCTAAACTGGCTTATAAATATAAACAAATATTTTCTCCGTTTCATAATATAAGTCTTTCTATCATTGTCCACATTCATATAGATATTAATGATATGTCTATATTCATTAACATCTATATGAATATGAACAATACTAGAAAGTTTTATATTATGAAACGGATGGAGTAGGACCTCAGTTTGAAATAAGCTTTTTTAAAAGTACAACAAAATTTAATAATATTTGGTATGATAGTATATAGTTATTTTTGTTCGTTTCATAATTTTTGTATAAAAAAGATGCATTGATCACAGGTCAAATATTCCGAAAGTAAAATGGCCAGCAAAGCAATATGCCCTGGGATTAGGCGTGGCAGGCAGGCATCCCTTTCCAGCACCAAACTTTGGCCGTCCCTTCATCCAACCCCTCGTAACGGATACGCTGTCACCGTGGGCCCCCACCCGCACACCCTAATTTAAATCAAATTTGCTTCGCTGTTAAGCTCCCCCAGAATCCCACATAATCCGGAATTAATTAACGCGATTAATTAGCCGCAAATCTCAATCCAGGCTGTTAATGGAGTACTTACCTTTCCGCTATAAAAAGCCCCGAGACCCTCTTCCTCCTCTCCTCCCATTCCATCGCCGCCACCGCCTCCGCATCTCCAGCGCCCCCAAACCCTAGCTCTCTCCTCCTCCGCCGCCGCGCCGATCGATCAGGAGTAGCAATGGCCAGGTTCTCCGCAGCCGCCGTGATCGCCTTCGCCGTGGTGGCCGCGGCCGCGCTGGCCACCGTGGCGTCCGCCGCCGACGCGCCGGCACCCGCCCCGACCTCCGGCGCGGTGGCGGCCGTCTCGGCGCCTCTCTCCGTGTGCTGCGTCGCCGGCCTCCTCCTCGCCTTGCTCCGCCACTGAAGCGTTCTTCTTCCTCTGAATGCTTTTGCTTCAGATCTAGCAGTACAGTGGTCGTGCGAGTCTTACTTAGCATTTAGTATTAGAGCTTAGTAGCGATGATGACGTGTGCGTGTGGAGGCATTGTTTTTTGGTTGGATCTATGGGGTTTTACGGGTTGGTTTGGAGTGAGGAGGATTTGAGATGGGGATTATTAGTATCTGTTAGACTGTTACTACTACTGGTTTATTTATTTTGGTAGTCTTTTGGTGTGATGGGTTTGGGATCTGTGTATTTACCACTTGAGTACACTGTTCTGAGAGATCGTTATTGATATTATTATGATTATTATTATTACGTATTACTTCACTGTTGTTGTTATTATTCTGTATTTGTGATGCTATGTGATTAAGCAGGGTTCCCAATTCCAGTAGAATATAGTCAGATTTCGTGAAATCCGGACTTTTCGGACCTGGTCGAAAATACAAACCACTTAGTTTTTCTTGTTGAGTTCAAATAAATCTAAACTGAACTTTAAAATTTTGACAAAAAATGATTCACAGTTTATTGGTTTTACGACGGATTCTGCGAATTCCCGATGGGATTTTGATTCGGTATCGGGGTTGTGAACCTTTGGCCTAAGGGTGTTTGGTGGAACGATCTGGAATGTGTGTGGTGTGGTGTTGTGTTGGGGACCCGACACGAGTCGCACGCCGGGATGAATGAATGAGTGAGTGAATGATGGAAGGGAAAGCGATTGAAAATAGTCTGGCCTGGTCGGCCTGCGTCAAGGTTAAGCAAGCATTAGCAGTTGCACAGACACAGCTGAGCCTGAGTAGAAGAATACTTCCTCCGTCCCACGATATAAAGGGATTTTGAGTTTTTGGTTACAACGTTTGACCACTCAAAACGAAAAGTTGTGCTTAAAGTATCGTGGATAATAAAGTAAGTCACAAATAAAATAAATAATAATTTTAAAAAAATTTAAATAAGATGAGTGGTTAAATATTGCAAGCAAAAACTCAAAAAGTTGTGCTTAAAGTATCATGGATAATAAAGTAAGTCACAAATAAAATAAATAATAATTTTAAAAAAATTTAAATAAGATGAGTGGTTAAATATTGCATGTAAAAACTCAAAACCTCTTGTATGGTGGGAGAGAGGGAGTAAGATTGGTTGTGCCGTTGCGGGGGTGGTCCCCGCTTCACATGGGAGCAGTTGGTGTTCGTTGTTGTGACAGAGGTCCACACCTGGCTCTCGTGCAGTCTTCCCTCAATTTTTTTTGGAATGCCAGTGCTAACTCTTTTCATGCCCTTTCTTTCGCTAATTCTTCCCATCTTGAATGACCATTTTTTCCTAATTCTAACCATCATTTACATAACTTTTTAAGACCATCCGCCGTACTGATTCCCACATGAAAAATTTACACGCATGCTATCTACAAAGGCAAATCTTATTGAATTAACTCACTGAACAACCAAGTATAGAATTCAACCAACAGTAAAATACTAAAATCATATACTCACATGTTTAAGATAAGGGCATTTCACAAAGTTCTTGTTCGGATTCTTTGGGTTCCTCGATGTTCGTGCCTCTAGCTGCGTCCCACACAGTGGACATCTCCCCAAGGGTAACTCACCAGTGCGGCGACATACCATCGAGGATGAAGCCGAGCCATCCATCTTTCAGCACCGCTCGCCCGCTGCAGCCACCAAAGCCACCGCCTCTGGTTCACTCACCGTCACCCTCACCGAAGCTGTTCGCTGGTCAGGATCACCGTTGCCCTCGCCGAAGCTAGTCGCCGATCTGGGCTGCCGCCACCGCCTCCTCAGTCGCAGGCTAGGGTTAGGTTGGGATATGTGGTGCGGCGATGAGACCGACTGGGTCTGGTTCGACTTGACCTAGTCGGGATAACGTCGTGCGCCACCAGGGGCATTCTCAGCAAATCGAAAATCCTCTCACATTTTTTCCTCCAAAAATAATAAAATAATGCTCCAAGTGTCTACAAGCTAATTATCACATTTTGGTAGTGCCCTACAAAATCCGTGATCTTACGGCGTCCACCGGCTAATTACATATTTTTTGGATGTCCTATAGCAAATTTTGCCCTCTTAGTAACTGTGCTCAACTCTAAAAATACTTAGGGAATGTTTGGTTGGAAGGACTAAAACTTCCTTCACTTTAGTCCCCTTTAGTCCCTAATGTCCCAAACAGGGGTAACTAAAAGGGACTAAAAGTGCATTAGTCCATTAGTCCATATGGGAGGAGCTTATAGGGACTAAGGCTGTGTTCGGCAGCCCCTCATACCAACCCATCTCCCTCGTTTTTCGCGCACACGCTTTCCAAATTGCTAAACGGTGCGTTTTTTGCAAAAAGTTTCTATACGAAAATTGCTTAAAAAACAATTTAATCCATTTTTGAAAAAAATTTAGAAAATACTTAATTAATCACCCGCTAATCGCTGCTCCGTTTTCCGTGCGGGCACTTAGGTTGGGAACCAGAGGTTCCGAACACACCCTAAAGTTGCTTCTTTCCACCCACTGCCCCCTCACACAACCCTCTCTTTGCATGGTTTTAGGGGTAACATGATCTTTGTATAGTGCAATTAATAACCTTAGTCCCTTTTAGAGCAAGTATAATAGTAGGCTGTAAGCCGACTAAATGCTGAGGTGGAGGAGAGAAGAGAGGAGAAGCAGGCTGTAAACTTACAACCGGCTTGAACAAAAAACCAAGAAATTTTGTGAAAGAGACAAGTGGGTCCTATATTAATTATAAAGAGCTAACTATTATCTGGGTAAACTGAGAGAAGACTGCAAAGAACCGTATAGCCAACAAGTCGGCTATATTATTAGCCTTGCTCTTAGTCTCTACATCCAAACAATTATGGACTAAAGTTTTTAATCGATTAATTTTAGTCCTAGGACTAAAGGATCCAAACACCACCTTATATTCTGTGACGGAGGGAGTAGTACTGAAGGAGTATGTTAAGGGATTATAGAAGGTACAGAGGTTAGCTATCGTACAAGTTACTCCTATAGTCGACTATTGTTGACGTACATAGGAATTTTTTTTAGAATAGTCGGCTATACCATTGAACTTGCTCTTATAGCTTCTATCGCCACAAAGCTCTATTCAGCTTTTGTTTCTTGTAACAACTAAAAGCTACTTCCTCCGTTTCACGATATAAGTCATTCTAGCATTTCCCACATTCATATATGTCTAGATTCATTAACATCAATATTAATGTGGAAAATGCTAGAATGATTTTTATTGTGAAACGGAGGGAGTAGTATGCTGTTAGGATAGCGAAAGCAACATATCTACATCCGTGCCAACACCTGGACGCTGAATGGCCTCAATTACTATTTACTACCAAACTAGTAGCTTATAACAATGCATGTGCTTAGAGGGATACTTACCAACGAATAACTGTCTTAGACATGTCACATAGGATAAGAGAGGTGTGTGCAACAAACTGGTTTCAATTCAATAGGACAAAATGCATGCGCATAAAGGAATACTTGCAACTTACCAACGAATAACTGTCTTAGGCATGTCACATAGGATAAGAGAGGTGCTAGATGCTTATGTGTTAAAACTAACCAGGATCAATTTAATAGGACAAGTGAAGAGTCAGGCACGAAACACGTCTGTCCGGTGCCCATATGCCATCAGCCACAATCGGGCGACTAACAGCCACGTTTTCCATGTTCCACAATCATGTATCTTACTGAACAATGCTCAAGTGCAAATGAAGCAGAAGTACCAAATTTGCTAATTGGAATGCGCAGTAATCAGGAGTATATGTACATCAGTCACACATGGCACCTAGAAATACAGAATCGATGGGCATGCCACCTTAATTTGACAGAATTCTATCTTGCCAATCTTTATCATTCGCGTTCAATAAAGAGAATTCGTTCACGAGAGAGAAGGAGAGGGAGAGAGCGAAAGTGTCCGTACCTACAGCTCGTCATGTGCTTTCGCCTTACCAGTGGTAGGGGGCTGGTGCTCAAGCAGATAGCGAGCAGCTAGTGATGCTTGCAAGGCTGCACCGTAGGGCAGGGCGTCTTCGTTGATGGTGAAGTAGGGGGAGTGGTGAGGCGCCTGCGGTCCGCGAGTCTCGTTGTACATGCCCAGGAAGTAGTAGTAAGTTGCAGGAATCGCATCAGCGTAGAAGGCGAAGTCCTCGGCACCCATCAGTGGCTGCTTGTCCCTGACATTCTTGGGGCCAACCATCTCGCTAGCTACCTTCACAAAGAAATCGTGGAGCCCCGCGCTGTTGATTGTTGGAGGGAAGAAAGGGCGGTCTTTGTCGAGGAAGTCTACGACAGCATTGCACCGCTGCACGGATGCTTGTGACACAATGACCTGACACAAGAAAAACGAACATGAGGGCAGCTCAGAACGTCTGCAAAGCATCTGAATTGTGATTTACCACAAATGATTTAAATCATAAAGGTTCTAGTCAGTATTGCACAGATACTGGTGAGAACTTTTCCAATACTGCAAATTGTACTATTCAATCTTAACACTTGGACTGTGACAGTCATAGGCTGTGTCAATAGCAAGCTTTACATTAACAAATGTAATCCAAGGTATCAAGTGCCAATACCACTTTACAAAGCAACAACTCCTATGTTTTTCTCTTCCATCCTTTCTAAGAGAACCTAATGCTCAGTTCAGAATTAAGAATCTGGAAGACCAGAAATAACAACAGAATGCATTGCAGTTACCTCTTCAATTCGCTGCTTCAATTGATTAAAACTCTCTTTTAAAAAGGCTCGGAAGGTGCCACCAATTGTAACAGAATCAGGGATGACATTGAAGGCTCCACCTCCTTGAAATTTTCCTACTGTTACTACCTGAAAAACAAAGCCACCAAGAGGGGAAAGACTTACATTCTGGAGTATACACAAAGTGCAACTCACATGGCAATGTGAGAGGAACAAATGATTAGTAGCATCATATTTAACAAAACTTATACCAAACCATTGGAAAAATTGATGACGGATAAGAAGTAAATAATTAAATGAAAACAAGTTCTGTTATCTGTAAAACTGTAATGTTCATATAATCATTTCAAGTATGAAATCTTGAGCTTGGAACTTCAACAGTCTAATAACCAAATCATAAAACTTGAATGATGAAATCATAACAGGATGTATGACAGAAGTATAGAGCTTCCATATTAATATGTGGTTAGCTAGCCTGCAGTATGCAGTAATCAAATCCCAAAAGTTTTGTTAAAGATATGTGCTATTATTCATCCTTGGATCCTGTCAATGTGCAAATACACCATTTATTTTCTGGCAAAATTCTAAGCAAATACAATTCTATACACCATTTATTTAGCTAACTGGACTTGTACACCACTACAACCAAGTGTGTCAGAGTGACAAATTCTCTACACAAAAATAAATTATGTAAACCACACAAAGACTATATAAAAAAAATTAATCAAGAACATGCATTTTTTTCCTTAGAAATATAGGTATAGAATAAAGTAACTCACCTGTGAGTCTAGGGGATCAGCTTCCCGGGAAACAAGTTGCTGAAGGCTTACAATAACATTTGATGCAGCCAGTATTGGATCTATAGTGTGGTGGGGAAGTGCAGCATGCCCTCCCTTTCCACTTATTACTGCCTCGAAGAATCCACTCCCTGCCATTACAGGTCCTGGCCTGGATGCCACCACACCAATAGGTACAACATCAGCAACATGAACCCCAAAAATGGCCTCTATATTTTCCACAGCTCCATCATCTATCATTTTCTTTGCCCCACCACCACCTTCCTCAGCTGGTTGGAAAACAAGTACTACGGTACCCTACAGTTATCAAGAAGACTTTGTAACAAGAGAAAGGGTAAAGAAATTGAAATTCAAGGGTTGAACTTCTTTTAATAAAAAAACTGAAATAGGAGCAACCAAGTAGTGCACTTTGTATAACACTGAACAGAGAAACGTAGGGGCAAAATTCCCCATCCCACATGGCGTAGGGTGTAATCAATTGCTAACAAAAAAAAATGCACATGAACTTTCTCCGCAAAGAGCAACATTGTATTTCATATAGTAAGAGGTTGAATAAGAATATAAGATGTTCTTTAAAAATCAAAATAAAATTGAAATAGCCACAAACATACCATCCATTCCTTGAAGAGGTGGTAAGGAAATGGAAAATGAAATCTTGCTTGTTGATTTCATGATTTAGGGAATCTTCTTTTTTTGTGAGGGAGGAAATATTGTTTGTTGTAGTGGAATGGATAAACTAAAGGATGATGTATTGAATAGACTACTCTATAATTTTATGCATGACACTCTTTAGTTCCTGTTTCAATGCTTTTTTTTCCGTCTCAAAATTATGTGCATCATCTTTGAAGATATGGATGGCACCTTATTTTCAATTACTAAACGAAAAGAAAGTTTTCTATCATACATAAACATCACAAAGACCTAGTGCCCACAAAAGAATAGTTTCCAATAAATATTCACTTTATCACATAGTAGTACTTTAAGACCTAATTTCCAATAGAATAGAAAAATGCTTCCTTATCATGGCTGGAATAAACAGGACGAGCTAGTAGCTCAGGCATTAAAACTGATATATAACACAAAATACCCTGTCAACATATTCCCTGGCATTACACCAAACTGGTATTAGTTGATTACATTTTAGTGTCAAATGAACAAACAACTATTTTCTTAAAAAGGAATCATGCTCTAAGACAAGACACAAGTAAAACGGTTAAATAGGATAAGCATATTAGTTATATCACAGAATTTTATTGTACGATGGTAAATTTATAATTCTTAATAAATATCAGAAAGAAAATCTTTTAGCCAACCTTCAGCTCATCACGGTGTTCCTGAAGTATCCTGGCAGAACCCAACAGCATAGCAACATGTGCATCGTGACCACACCCATGCATCTTTCCAGGCACTTTACTCTTGTGCTCCCATTCCACACTTTCCTGAAGATCGACACATTAAGGTAAGTTAACTTAGCCTTTTCAAACCGATAGCGAGGTACAGCTTAGCCATATTTCAATTTTACCAGAGCAAAAACTACCATACTCACCACTAACAAACAATTTAATGACCATCAACTGGGATTAGAATCTATATTTCTATATAGTTGTTACCCACTAACAATTATTAGAAGCTAAAGCTCAACATGCAAGTATGACACATCATCACCTACTAGCAATTACTATTCTAGCCCATTTAAAATCCCATGCAAGCATGCCACATCTTCACTCACTAGCAATTACTATTCTACCCTATTTTAAATCCCATGCAAGCATGCCACATCATCTACAAAATTATATTATAGAATCAACAAGTATGTGACAAATCATCTTCCTCACATTACTTTCTCAACATTTCAACTTTCATTATTTCGACAATATTTAACATATACTCATCCATGAATCCTACAACAAAGCACGGGGTATCACCTAGTATTTAAAAAAGAAACTTCCCTTAGTTCAGATATGTCATACGATTGTATAGATTTATGATCTTCCTCAGCAAACAATCTATATAGCTACAAGTAGCTTCTCTTGAAATGATAAAAATACATTAAAAAGAACACTATATGTTCTTATTAGTCCAGATAAATGAAAAAAAAAGGGGGAGTGAGTAAATAAATAATCGAATTGGAATGGCCTAGCGTCCTAGCTCTCAGATAAGTAGATCATAAATCATGTGTCACTGCTGATAAAGAAATGTAGCATATTTGTATCAGCATCATTTCACCATTGATGGAAAGATGACTCACGTTTTATTGGATTTATTTGTAAGTTGTGCGTGTGATTCATTCCTACTATCCCATAATAAGAAAAAGTTTGTCCTCAGATGTCCCTAATCAAAAGGAGCAGCTAGAAAATACCTAATTAGGATAGCGTACATCCCTCTTCTTGCGAAAAGAGTGTCTGCCCGAACCCATCACACCAAAGACCAAACCTCAGATTTCAATTTACCATTTCCACATCCAGACTTCTTTCAATTTACCTTAAGATTTGATGAGCTGGTTACTGGCATACAGTACATGTATTAAACACAAGCTTTTAACATTTCTAATGGTCCTCTCTCCATATCTCAAATTCACATAAATCTGCAAGTCCTCGTAAGGCGGCAGTATTTGTTTTCATGATTAAAATAAGTATAAGAGTAAGCACAGCTATTTGAGACCTCCACAAACAATCGAGACAGATCCTAGAGAACAGAAGAACCACGAAATCAATCTACCGGAAGCAAAACCATGAAGTGATAATGGCCGAGCACAACCTCGGGAACCGAAGAAGAGCAAGGGAGAGAGGTAGCGAACCTGCATCGGGAGCGCGTCCATGTCCGCCCGGAGCGCGACGAAGGGAGGGCCGCCGGTGCCGACGGTGGCGACGACGCCGGTGACGGCGAAGGGGTGCCTGTAGGGGATCCCCAGCGCGTCGAGCTCCCTGCGCACGAGCTCGCTGGTGGCGAACTCCTCGTACCCGAGCTCCGGGTTCTCGTGGATCCGGCGGCGCAGCCCCACCATCCAGCCCGCGAACTCCGCCTCCTTCGCACGCCGCAGGAGCCCCGCCGGGTCGTCCAGCGCCGCCCCCGCACCGCAGCCCGCGAGGGCGGCGGCCAGGACGGCGACGGCGGCGAGCAGAACACGCGACGACGATGCGGCGGCCATGGCCGGCGATAATCTCGTGACCTCTCTCTGGTTTGCGCCCTCGCCCACTTCACTCCAGCCGCCTCCGCTTTTTATAATTTTCTTTTTATTTATGTCGAGCGAAGCGAAACTAACGCGCACGAGCGAGATAAAAGAGTACTTCCTTCGTTTTACAATGTCATTCTAATATTTCTCACATATATATTAATGTTAATAAATCTAGACATATATATCTATCTAGATTCATTAATATCAATATGAACATATAAACGTGAGAAATATTAAAATGACTTACATTGTGAAACGAGGGAGTACCTCCGTCCCATTTTAAACACAGTTTTTCGTATCTAGCTTTAATCATTCATTCATTTTATTTTAAATTTTTTTAAAAAATAAAAAATATAAGTCACGCATAAATTACTATTTATATTTTATCATCTAATAAAAAATAATAATTATAAAAAGATTAAAATAAAACGGATAATCAAATGTTAGACATGTAAACTGCGTTTAAAATGGGCTGATGGAGTTCGCTAGTCTCTCTAGGCTTGGGGTAGTTGAGGTTGAGATTTTGACTTGTTCACTCTTGTTTTGTTTTTATTTTCTTTTCTTGCTTGTGCATTACTGGACCAGGTTGCTCATATTTATCTTTAGTTGTTTTCAATTCTACTCCCTCCATCCTCTAATATAAAGGATTTTGATATTTTACTTACACTATATTTGATCATTCATCTTATTTAAAAGAAATTAGAATTATTATTTATTTTTTATGTGACTTACTTTATTATCTAAATTATTTTAAGCACAATTTTTTGTTTTTTATATTTACACAAATTTTTTTGAATTAGATGAGTGATCAAACAATACAAGTAAAATATCAAAATTCCTTATATTATGGGGAGGGAGGATTACTCATTTTGGGTAGTCTTTTGTTTCCAGACGTTTTTGCAGGATGGTCCGGTACATGGGTCTCGCGTGGTCGCATGTGGTTTTGGTGGTTGCGGTTTTGCTATACCATTTGCAGGAAGATTGGGGTAGCTGCATGCATTTAGCTGCCGACCTGGATGCCACCAAACAAACGTGGCTGGCATCACTTCGCTAGCTCCACCTCCACTGCTGATATTGATTGTTGAATCTTGAATGGTGACGCTACTAGTGTCTCCATTAAGCTAGGGAATTTATTCGTTAATTAGTTCATCAATATAATTCCAGCCAATTATGCACTTGCTTAATTTTTTTTGATCTGTAAAATAGTGGTGTGATACTTATGTTAATTATGGTGTAAATGGATCACAAAATTCATGTGTTAACTTAACTATGGGCATCATAACAGCTATTAGGTACTCCCTCCGTTTCACAATGTAATACTTTCTAGCATTGTCCATATTCATATAGACATATATATGAATCTAAGCAATATTAGAAAGTTTTACATTGTGAAACGGAGGAAATATGTCGTAAGCTATCACTACCTCCGTACCAAAATTTAGCATCTTGAGATCGAATTAGCCACATCCTATTATTATTATGAATCTATGCAGGGGTTTATTTAAATCCGTAGTGCTGTAAAATATCCAATCTAGTTGTAGGTGTTATATTTTGGGACGCTAAGAGCATCTCCAACAGCCTCTTCAAATTGAACTCTCCAAACACTCATTTAGCCAACTCTCCATCTGATTTAGCTAGTCACACTAGTAACTCGCTCCAACAGTCTCTCCATCTACCATCCCCACTATAAATCTATGACAAATAGGACTCATATGTCAGCCTCTACTATCCTTCTTCCTTCTCTTCCACACCAAATTTCCCCACTCATGTGCTACTGCGGTACTGCCTCCTCCTCATGTACTACTGCCTCCTCCCCACGCCATCTACCTCGACGGCGATGGCGGCGGAGGCTTGCGATGACGACGATGACAACCTGTGGAGGCGGCGGAGGTCACGTGGTTGGCCGACAAGCTGCCGATCCGCGACAGGCTCCATTCATCTCCTCCTAGGGCACGGCGGCGGCAAGGGTGAGCCCGCCCAGCTGTGCGGCGGCGATGACGGCGGAGGCTTGCGACGACGACGACGGTTGGTCGACAAGCTGCCGATCCGCGACGGGCTCCGTTCATTTCATCTTGGGGCACGGTGGCGGCGGGGGCGAGCCCGCCCAGCTGCGTGGTGGCGGAGGCTCGCGACGACGATGACTTGTGGAGGCGGCGAAGGTCACGTGGTCGGCCGCCAACCTGCCAATCCGTGACAGGCTCCATTCATCTCCTCCTGGGGCACGGCGGCGGCGGGAGCGAGCCCACCCAGCTGCGCGGCGGCCACCGGAAACAGCTGGTGAGACCAGCCGCCGCGTGTGGGCGCTCGACGCCGGCCACCCCTCCTCTCGCCTCGCCCTCGCCCTCCGCCCCAAATCCGGTCGGGCGCCTCACCACCCGGGCCCGATTGCTTCCTCCTCACGGTGGGCGCTGCTCTTGGGGCTCCGGCGCGCGGCGAGCGGGGGCGGCGAGGGAGGGGCGGCGATGGACTCCGAGAACGACATGCTCAACGCGAACAACTCTGCCAGCGACGACTTCTACAGCTGCGGGGAGGCAAGCCCGTGCTCCCTGGCGGCATCTGCGCCCTCTTGCCCAGCCTCCCGGCTAGGGCTGTCAAAAAAGCTCGAGGCTCGCGAGCTTTGTCGAGCCGAGCTCAAGCTACCAACGAGCCTAGTAATATATGATTTTTTTTGTTATTTAACAAATTAGGAAATCAAATATGTTATTTGTACACGTTATATTTACATCATATATTTATTTTATTCTTTTTTCCTCTTCTATTAATGAACTAGAAATTAATTATTTTTTTAAGATTATCTTTGAAATATATATTATTTACTTAAAAATCAAGCTCGGTAGTCGAGCTCGAGCCGAGCCTATCGGAAAGCTCGAACATTTTATAGGCTCGGCTCGAGCTTGTATCGAGCTCGAGCCAGGCAGACGAGCTTGCTCAAGCTCGGCTCGTTGACAACCCTACTCCTGGCGGTGGAACTCCCGAGGATCAGCCATTTGAGCGCCACGGCGGCAGCCGCGGCGAGGAGGAGCAGCGCGGCCGCATCCATGGTTGTGTGTGTGCGGAAAGGAGATGGGAGGAGGAATGCGTGTGAGGCCCACTGATGACTAATCATTTTGGCTGGCCAAATTTAGCTAGTGGGGGTAAGGTTTTGGTCAGCCAGATGGCTTAGCCATCTGGTTTGAGAGGCTGTTGGAGGACGTTGTTTTGGCTAGAATGGCTAAAATTTGGCTTGGAGAGTAAAATGAGAGGAGGCGGCTAATAGGCGGGTGATCGCCTGGAGAGATCACCCCCCATCCCCCTATACACTACTTTCTTCCTTCCTATTCCCCTACTTCTCTTCCTACTACACCATAAGTTTTTTAAAAAATAAAAAAACACAAAGTTAAAAAAATTTATGTATAGAAATAGTATATATAAAAAATTTGAATTCAAATTTAAATTTAAAACGGGTACGTAAACTTTTGACTTATAAACTTTGGGTCTATAAACTAATACTTGAATTCAAATTCAAATTTGAATCGGTTTGAATCGGGTATGTAAACTTTTGACTTATAAACTTTTGATCTATAAACTTTAAGTGTATAAACTTTAGATGTGTAAAGTTTAGGTGTATAAACTTACTAATAGAGGAAAATATAAAATATTTGAATTCGAATTTAAATTTGAGTCGGATATATAAACTTTTGACTTATAAACATTCGCTTTACAAACTTTAGGTGGATAAAATATAGATGTGTAAACTTTAGGTGTATAAATTTACTAAAAGAGGAAAAGAAAAGAAAAAACCAATCGCTGGCCGCGATCGATCGTGCATTAGCCTTCTCGGAATGGAGAGGCTATTGGAGATGCTCTAAGGCTGCGTTCGTTCCTCTGGGTTAGGAACCCAACCCTCTGGCACGGAAAACGGAGCAGTCCATTAGCGCGTGATTAATTAAGTATTTGCTAATTTTTTTTCAAAAATAGATCAATATGATTTTTTAAGCAACTTTCGTATAGAATCTTTTTTTTAAAAAAACACACCGTTTGGTAGTTTGAAAAGCGTGCGCGCGAAAAACGAGGGAGAGGGTTGGGAACCCTTACTATCAAAAACAGCCTAAGTATATACTAGTAACCTTTACTTTTAGATCCCGTTTGAAAAAAAGGGAAAATTGCAAAAACCAACCCATAAATCACTTGAAGTTTGACATTCCACCTCATAAGTTATTTTGTTGCAAATGTCCACCCACCTACTAATTTTTTATGTAAAAACCACCCCAGTAAACATATGCTTAACCGAATCAATATGTTTTCATAAAGTGTGAGTGATTAATGTGGTTTTTACTAAAATTAAATACTTCTAGAGTATTCTTGATATTTTTTTTGGTGAGACTCCACAAATAAAATTGCAGACGAGAGCTTAAACGTCGTCGCACTGAGTTTCGCTATATGAAAAAAAAAGTTCAATCAAATATGGAAAATAAAGTCTAATGCAAACACTTGGACAATATTGACTTGGCTAGCTTAGCCTAAGATAACCATACATCAGCGATAATAAACTGATTTGATTAAGTATATGTGCATTAGGGTGGTTTTTGCAACAAAACTAAGTAGATGATGGGTATTTGCAACAAAATGACTTATGGGGTGAAATGTCAAATTTCAAGTGATTTATGGGGTGGTTTTTACAATTTTCCCAAAAAAAAAGGACAAAAAAAATACATGTGCTGATAAACACCAGGATGAAAATGGGCAAGGCCCAATTTGTCAGGCCCAGGGATCTGGTTTACGCTTCCAATCCTGGAAAGCGTAAATCTGTCCGCTCCCAGGGTGGGCCCACCACCCACCCGGCCGCCTCTGCCTCTCTCTCTCTCTCTCTCCAATTCCTCCTCGCCTCGGTTGTTTCGTCCCAGGAAACTCGATTCTGCTTCTGAATCGGATTTTCCCAGGGATTTCGCCGGCGGCTAGGATCGGGTCGGGGGTCCGCCATGGCCGACGTGTTCGAGGGCTACGAGCGCCAGTACTGCGAGATCTCCGCCTCCCTCGCCCGCAAGTGCACCGCTGCCTCCGCTCTCCAAGGAGGTACCCCCAAGAATCACATCTCCCAGTATTTTCTCTGTTAATCTTTGATGATCCGGGCTAATTTCTTTCCTTTCTGGCGGGTGTTTGATTTTCTCTGCAGAGAAGCTGAAGCAGAAGGCGTCGGAGATCAAGTCTGGCATCGATGGGGCCGAGGCACTGGTGAGGGGAAATTATCAGCTTTGCTATTTGCAATTTGCAAATAGATAAGAGTGATACTACTGTGACCTATTGATTTGGAAGACCTTGTTTGGATAATTACATTAATTTATTGTGAATCAAGGATGGATCGTTTGTAAGAGTATATGTTCCTGTACCAATCGCGAAGAGAATATCAGTTTGGTGGGATTATATTATTCAAGGGAGCATTTCTTTTTAATGATTTGATTTGTGCAGAAGTGGACAATTTTTTATGGGATTAGTTTACTGTGTGAGTTGAAGAAGAGATTACGTTGTGGTACTAGGTAGCTATATGTATGCGTAGTCATGTATGTTGCAGCATTTAGAATGCCACTTCTCTGTTACAGATAAAGAAGATGGATCTTGAAGCAAGGAACCAACAGCCAAGTGTGAGGGCTGGGCTGCTGGCAAAACTGAGGGAGTACAAGTCAGATCTTAACAACCTGAAAGGAACGTTGAAGAGGGTCACCACCGGTAACGCGCAGCAAGGGTCGAGGGAAGAGTTGCTGGAGTCAGGAATGGCTGAAACGTTGGGGGTATGCTGCTTATTCTGAATAGATATCATTCCTACTATGCAGGCGAATAAAATTCAGGGGGTGTTAGGTGGAGCGTGATTCACATGTTTTTTTTTTCTTGCGTTTGAACTTTAGGCTTTAATGTCTGATATGATAACATGAAACACCTTTGTGTTCTATGCTAATTACGGTGGTTGGTGATAACATGAAACACCTTTTTGATCTATGCTAATTCTGATTGGTTCTTGTCAAAATTGTCCCATGAATCAGGATACCAGCACACTTTATGGCTCTGTTTTAATAGAATGATTGATGTATTGAAACGCTCAATCTATAGCTAAACCAGGGAGGTTAGGGAAAACAATAGATGGGGCTTAATTTGCCCCCAAATGTTCAGGACATATACTGATGTAATTTCTTTTGATTTTCTTTTTGTGCAAATTTGAAAGGAATGCCAAGTGAATTATGTTAGTGTGAGCTTATAGAGTGCTTCATGATGACTTGGTGAGCAGACGCATCATATATATACTGACTCTGAATGAAAACATGCATAATGGCCATGCCATTGGTCAGATGTATGTACTATCATATTAAGTTGCATCTGACTTATCACGAGAATATTACTGTATTGCATCGATAAGTCAATTTTTCTTTTCAACCAGTATGAATGTCTAGGGAATGTTAGTAGATTTATACATATTTTACATAGTGCTAATATATATCTGTCAAAAGGAAGGCTGAGAACATAATCTAAAGAATCATATCATCTTGTAAAATCCATACTTTCAATCAAGCCTGATTCTATTGTACTAATAATCTCATACACATGTTGAGCTATTCATCTAAGTTTATTTGACTTATTAGTAACATAAGTTTATCCCTTTGCCAGTCAATAGCTATCCATCTAATGAAAGCACGATCATGTATTTTGATGTTCAATCATGCAGGTATCTGCTGATCAAAAGTCAAGATTGCTCAGGATAACTGAAAAGCAAAATAAAACAACCGATAGGATCAGAGATAGCCACAGAACTATGCTGGAGACTGAAGATCTTGGAGTCTCCCTCTTGCAGGACCTGCATCAACAGCGTGAACGTCTAATACATGCTCATGGCACAGTAAGTAACTATTTACTATAGTCATTCCCTGTTTGGATCAACTGCTTACTTTTTGTATCTCATTTATTTACTAATATGCTCATAATTCCCATTGATATGTAATTTGTATGCATTCTCTGATAGAAAATCATGTCTACCATAAATCTGTTCTGTATTGGTTGTTATAGGTTTCCATTCTAGTCTATTGACAGACAAATATGTATGTACATGATTTTGTGTGTACTCGTATGCGTTAAGCCTTTTCACACCAGTCTAATTAGTACTAGTGCTGGATTTTTACCTGCTCCTATAGGCTCCTTCCAATATACGCTTTACCTGTATTTTACTTGACTCATTGTATTTTATTTCATGCCATCCTTAACATCTTTTTACAATTTTATATTTTTCTTTGATGTTTCTATTTGAGTATACGGCGCTAGATAAAGAAATATCAGTTTGCAGTTAAATTATCAAATCCTTGTATAAAATACATAATCTCTGATGCTTTATCTTGGCGAGTTGATGATTTTTCCCCCTTCATCGTTTACATTACTGCCATTACTGGTGCCTCAATGGTGGTAACCTCAAACTCTGGTAGCATGAATTGAAAAGTGAGGCAACAATATGGAAGGTGTTAATAATGTTTCCACTTTTACAAGTAGTGATATAGAATTGTCCCATCAATATCAATTGGCCAGAGCACATAAACAATATGATGAACATCGTTCCACAGTAAATCATATTCGATTACTGTACATGGCCTTAGGCCTGAGTGTATCCTCCTTGTTTTTCCCTTGCCATTCATGTCTTTCTTCCCATTGCAGTTGGATAACGTGGATGACAACATCGGGAAGAGTAGAAGGATCATGGGTGCCATGGTGAGGAGGATGGACAGGAACAAGTGGATCATAGGTTTCATTATAGCTCTCCTTGTGTTGGTGATCCTAGTAATCCTGTATTTCAAGTTTGTGCACTGAGGGACTCCTTGACCATCCAAGGACTGATGAACTGTGTGCGTTCTTTGCATATTCGTTTTGTCTTATTTCTTTTTTTGGGTTTGGACGAAACCATTTCATGTGGTGGTTGTGAATGTGTTTTGGTCATGTAAAAAAAGTGAGAAGGTTTTGAGTATCTGATAGTTTCATGGATCAAATGGATTTTCATTTATAATTCTGGACAGCTAAATAAATGAGCAATTTTGTGCATCATGTTACACGTTTACTTTGCTGCCTTGAAAATCATGCACAAGATTATAGGTCCAATTTGCGAATGGTCCAAACTGGTACGTCACTACGTCAGTCGAAGATTACTGACTTGGGGCAAAGGATGTTAGGCGACGAGATCGAACATGTCAAGCGACAAAATTGAACACGAGATTTCAGTAAAAAAAAATTGAACACGAGATGATACACTCGAGAGTTTTTTTTAACGGGATTCACAAGTCCTATGAGAGGTCTTCGTAGTAGGCTTCACAAGTCGTATGCAGTGGCGGACACACCCATTGGGTAGGGTGGGTCGCCGGTCCAGCTACAATCCGTACCGTCCCACATCCTCAAACCTTATTTTAGTCCTATTTTTAACACATTAGTTATCAGTCTACTATTAAATAATCAGATAAATCAAATATTTTTAGTAGTAACAAAAACATTTATGAAATTCGTGTATAAGTAGTACTATTTTGACCGTTTCTGATTTTGGCCATACATAAAATTCGATTTTCTTTCTATTTCTTTAGCGTATAACACAGTCTATAGTAAATAGTTAAATTGGTAAATATATATAAAAAAATCCATTTTACTCACTTGAACTATTTTGGTGAAGCACTTAAACCCCTAAATAATTTTTCATCTCGTTTTATACCCCTGAACTATTGAAAGTGGTTCCCCTTAATGTCTAATAATATTTCTCATTTTTTTATCTCTCTACATAGAAATCATATACGTTTGTCCAACTACCAATTTTCATGATAACTTTCTCGATGTTCATGCCTTGTGCTGATGCGCCAATGCCATGAACCAATGATTATGATTTGTGTGCGTTGTGCCATCACCTAATTAGGTTAGCTCTGTCGCCCCATCTGTATTTTAAACCTGTGTCCACCACAGGTCGTATGTGCACTGTTAATTGAAAGGAAAGAATGGACATGTGCGCTGTGGTTGAGGGCTTCAAGTGCATGGTGACTCGGGTGATGCATGGAAGCTACAGTATATCGGGTGTTGTAGCACGCATATGCGATATATGCATATGTGCTGCCCTTGATTTGGTCAAGCTTATGAGTGAAGTGCGTTTGTGTGGCTTTGGATGATGGAATAGCAGGCCGACATGGAGGCCCAGGTACACTGGCCCATAGGTTAGGCGGTCCGGCCTGGTCTGGAGGAAAAAGTATACTTCGACTCCCTCAACTATGACCCGAGTATGATTTATGTCCTCCAACCACAAAACCGGGTATATCGACTCCTCCAACTATCAAAACCGGTGCAAACAATGCCTCTGGGTGGTTTTGAAGGTGGTTTTGGCTGACGTGATACCTACGTGGCGGTTTTGACCGGGTATTTGTCCTACGTGACGCTTATGTGGCATTAGAATAAAAAACATTTAAAAAATGTGGGACCCACTGACATCCTCCCTCTCCTTCCCTTCTTCCTCCTCCCTCCCTCTCTCTCCCTTATCTCCCTTTCTCTCCCTCGGCCTGGTGGCGTCGTGGTCGTCGTTGCCCATGGCCACCGGACGCCGGCGCCGACCGCCGCTGCTCCCGACCACCGGCGAGCTCCAGATCCTCCCTCGTGCGCGGACGGACGGCGAGCTCCTCCCCACACGCGCACCCCCACCGCACCGCCGCTGCTCCCGATCACCGGCGAGCTCCAGCTCCTCCCCCGCGTGAGGACGGCATGCGAGCTCCTCCCCGCGCATGGACGGCCGGCGAGCTCCTCCCCGCGCGCGGACGGCCTGCGAGCTCCTCCCCGGTGCGCCGTCGCCGTTGTCAGCTCCCTCCGCCATCCACGGCGCCGACGGCCTCCTCCTGCTACGCGCGCTTCAGGAAGATCACATGGCGCTCGTACGCCGCTAGCGCCGGGCTACCCTTGTGGAGGAGCTCCTCCAGGGCGTTGATGGCGGATGCGAGCTTGTCGTCACCGGCAGTGGCGGCGGCGATCTGGCTGTCCGAGATCGATCGAGTCCAGGCGAACCATGAGCAATACGGGCGCCACCATCGAGATCGATCCGACCTAGCTAGCTAGCTCGAAACAAAAAAAAAAAAATCAGCAAGATGAGATCATTGAATTGAATGGAATTCTTTGATCACTTCCTGTACGTCGAAGCAAATTCAAAGGCAAAATCGAAGGCTAGCTCGCCGGCGCCCCGGGAAGCAGCATTTGACTGCAGCGCGGCGGCGGCGCAGCCGGGGGGATGGACCCTATCCTCACCTCTACTGGCACGGCGCTCTCACCGGGTGGACGAGCTCCCTCTGCCGCCTCCCGCCGTCCGCGATCCTGCTTTCGCCACCCAGACCGTCGCCGGCCTCCACCACGCTCGAACTCAGCTGTCGCCGAGGGGACGGGACCCACGGAAGCCGGCGGCGCACCAATGGCCTTCGTCGGCCTTCCGCCTCTGTCGGCTTATCCCACCGGGCGCCGGCGGACGAGATGACATGTGGGGCCCACATGACGGTGGGTCCCACTATTTTTCTGTGTGAATGACATGTCGGTCCCACATATATTTTTTTTTGTTTTTACTCTAAAATGCCACCCAAGCAACACGTTAACGACATGTGGGACAAAGACTGGGTCAACACTGTCATATAGGCGCCACGTCAGCCAAAACCGCTTCCAAAATCACTCAGGGATATATTTTGCACAGGTTTTGATAGTTGGAGGAGTAAATATACCCGGTTTTATGGTTAGAGGGTATGAATCATACTCGGACCATAGTTGAGGGAGTCAAGTATACTTTTTCCTTGGTTGGGTGCACGCGAGGAGCAGGCCAAGATGACATGGAGGCCCAGGTACACTGACCCATAGGTTAGGCGGTCTGGCCTGGTCCGGATGCACACGCGTACAAGCTTGGTAGAGGCAGGAACAAGTCCGTTTCGTACGATGGATTTTCTGTGTCGGCCGATTCAGAGAGGGAGAATAGAATTTGGATTTATTGAGGTATATCCAGCCCTAGTGGGATTAGAAGTTATACTTCTGATTTATGTTGGAGGGCTCTTGCTACAAATAGATGAGGGATTCAAACAAAGGGCAAACAACCTTTAAAAGAGAGAAAAATTAAAGCTAAGGTTTAGTCGAGAGAGAGAGAGGTGCTTGCTGTGCACTTTGTAAACTCGGTTGATATAATAAAATAGATCTTCATTGAGTAAGTTCTGAATTCAAGGGTATTTTTAATTTCATAAAAAGATTTGATTGTTTGTTTGTTTGGTCTTTCCTATCATTTGCATCCCTCTATTATAAATTTGGTTGTTGTATTTGATCCTACGTATATCTATGAGCTGTTACTACTACAAGGCTATATATTTTATCAAAATAATTGTATAATATGTGGTACTTTTAAATTTTTAATTATTTAACTAAAATAATGTATTGCACGCATGTAAAATGCATTTTATGGACATTTTTCATCTCTTAAAGGGTGGTACTTGGGTGGGAGTGCGTGGTTAGCTAGGGTTTAGTATGTGGTTAAGTGATCTAAGCATATTACAATGTGTCGGAGATGAGTCCGTTGTATATATTAGAAAATAAAACAAATTATTTTTTGCTATTTAATCTTGAGATACTTGGTCCATATGTTTCGCAGTATCGATATCGAACACGCCATTTCGCAGTGGGACAGCAGTTGTAACTTTTCCAAAGTATCAATGCAACATTGGTAATAAGAGCTATCGTATTTTTATCTGGAGCAATAGAGAACTTCGGTCCATTGGTTTTATTTGACTGGTGGATGAAATACCAATCTTGTTTGGCCGGTTGATGAAAAACCAGTATCTTATATTTCGATGTTCGATCATGCAGTATCTGCTGATTAAAAATCAAGATTGCTCATGGCAACTGAACATACAATTGATATGATTAGAGATAGCAAGAGAACTATGCTGGAGACTGAAGATATTGGAGTCTTCCTCTTGCAGGACCTACATCAACAGCGCGGACGTCTGATACATGCTCATGATATAGTAAGTAACTACTTACCATTAGTTATTCCCTGGCTGAGCTAACTATTTTTATTTTTCATATTCCATTTATTTACTAACTCACATCACCACTCGGAAATTTTCCTGCACAATTTTGCATATTCTAATTAAATTGTATTTGTTATAGAACTGTTAATTTCTATTTCATATATGTAACTATATCTTATATACAATTATATACAATAATAAATAGTAAAAGTAGGATTGAATTTGATATGTACTTTGTATACATCTAAATTATCAATCACACTGTTTTAATTTGGTCCACCACAATCTAATATAGTTTAGTTTTTTTTCTCCGCCTAATGTGGTAATTTCTAGGCCTCCAGAACCTGCTTATAACTGTTCGTCGATATCGAAGTTGAAGCACAATCAACCGACGACAAATCGGCAATATGATATATAGATCACAGTAGCATTATATTGTTCAGCAGTTAATCAAATATGATATAGATCACAGTAGCATTATATTGTTAAAATAAATAAACAAATCATGTTTGATTAATGTACATGGATTTAGGCCCATGCATGCTTCCTTGTCTTCCCCCTCTGTTATTCATATCTTTGTTGGTGTTGCAGTTGCATAACGTGGATGATAACATCGGAAAGAGCAGAAGGATCATTGGGGCCATGGTGAGGAGGATGGACAGGAACAAGTGGATCATAGGTTTCATCATAGCACTCCTTGTGTTGGCGATCCTAGTAATCCTGTATTTCAAATTTGTGCACTGAGCGAGTAAGACAGCTGTGCATTGTTTTGCATTTTTCAGTCTTGTTCCTTTTGGGGTTTGGAAGAAGACAGGAAGAACCATCTCCTGTGGTTATTGTGAAATGTTTTGGTCATGTACAAAAAGAAATGTGCGAACATTTGAGTATGTGATAGTTTCATACTCCTATATGAAATGGAATTTTATTCAATTTTATCCTGGAGATAAAACGAAATGAGGAGCTAGCAGTCTCGTGCATCATATTACTTGCATTGTTTTCTTTTCTGGCTGGAAAATTAAAGCATGCCCGATTTGG